TAAAAAAGAATGTATAAACATAAAAATGTCTTTATATAATATATATATATATATATATATATATATATATATATATATATATATATATATTTATTGTCTTTAATGTGTATGTTGAAGTATTGCCAAAAAGTTTTCAGTCTGAGCAACTTCTCAAAATCATTATTTGAATGGCTAAACATCTGAATACTGATTTTGAAATAGAGAGAGACTGAGAAATGTTCAATACCCCTTTTAACACACAGACACATGTACATTTTATTTCTGCTTAAATATTTCTGTTAATAGTAACCCATAACTTCTTGTAAATAATTTTTGAAACAATAACTTTTCTCCTATAAGGATATTAAAACGAAGGTAAAAATAGGTGCTTTGTTTAAAACTACGTTTAATACCATTATTATTATTATTATTATAATTCTTTTAAAAAGTGATCAGAATGAGAATAGAATTAATTTTGTTGACTTATCTACAAGATAACCGGATTGAAAATGAAGTGTTATGTCAAGCTGTACAGAAAGCAAAGAGTAAATTCCATATGCATGCCAAATAATATATGTCAGAGGTCAATTTAGAATTGATCAGAGGGAGAGAGAGAGGGGACAGATATATATTCAAAAATAAATAAATTTAAAAGTGAGAAAAAAAAAAAATGGAAATTGAAAAAAAAAAAAAAAAATGCCAGTGACCTTTTGTTTAAATGAGTGATTTTACACAATTAAAATAATATAAAAAAGAAGTTTTTTTTTCATTTCTGTAAGGACTTTGATGAATGGGAATTTGGAGCAGTTGTCTATGAAAAGAAATAAATACAAAATGGTTTCTGTTCAATTCATACCAGTGTTCTGGCAAGTGTTGGAGAAAGAGAAAAAAGCCCAACAGAGAAGAGTCAGCTGTTTTGAAATTCACTCTTAAATGGTCAACTGCATCTAAATTATCTCCCCCAATTATCATAATTTATGTTATGAAGGATGGATCCTCCAAGACAAGCCAGTGATCAGCTATATTTTATGTGTGTCCTCACTAATTGACTTTTATATTAAAAGCTTGTTACAGATTCACCATTGGTCAGCTGTAGCCGATTTTTGTTTGGGCATGTTGGATACGTAGCTTGTTAACGAATAGCCAATGTTTTTACTAAATCCAAAATTGAACATTGATATGTTCTTTGTAATTATAAAAGCGATTATGGGGAAGGAAAAGGGCTTGAGTTGGTGACCATTTCATACTTTAGACTTATTTGTTCGTACTTTGCATGTTTAAGATGGTGTCCTGCAATTGATGGCTGCTACAGTACATGGCGACACACGGGACAAGTTCCAGACTGAAAAAAAAAAAAAAAATTTTTTTTAAATAAACAAAATAAAAAATAAGGCAACAGGATAAGAATAATTTTCTTTTCATATAAATCAGCAGATGAAGAATTCTTTCTAAATTGAAATTTAATTTATTGTCAAAAAAAATAAAAATAAAAATTTCGATAAGGTTTCATTTACTTTTGCACAGATGTGTTTAGGGACGGATACATCTTAGGGAGATACATCTCTTCCCCTAGCTATAGCTTAAATAGCAGCATAAAGTAGTTAGAGCTTTAGTACTCCGGCCATGAGATTCTGGTTCAAATACCACCATGGTTGATTTTTTCAAAGTGGTGACTTCCTGATAATACTGGCTTTGATAATTGAAAAATTTGAGTTACTGTCCATTGACCAGAATTAAAATTAAATCAATGTAAATCTTTGACTGATGACAAGAACAGAAGTCTCAAAATTCAAAAAAAAAAAAAAAAAAAAAAAATAATATATACTAATGTTCAAAACTTTCGGGCCAACATTAGTAAATTGAATTACTTTTGTTAATTTTACCCCAAAATTGAGAGTGTTTCGCAGTACACTTTTCTCAGTACCTTTTATGATCTTTGAGGACAAGAAGACAAGTTACTGCATTTTCATTAATGCAGTATAGTGCATCTGAAGCATAGTGATTTTGAAGAAAAGGTTAAGCAAAAATATTGGACCAATAGTGAAAATTTCACCTTTCACCACTTTTCATAAGTTAAAAAGGATAATCCTTTTGCAAAAAAGCGATTTTTATTATTACAGAAAGTACAAAATGTCAATGTATGAAGTTAGTAATTAGTGTTGCTGCCTTTTTGACTTGAATAATTGTCTGAATTTGACGTGACGTTGAATGGGACAAGGTCCAGATTTTCGCATTGGGAATTTTTTCTCATTCTTGACAGAAATCTCAAAGCTCTTGGTTTTTGTTGGAGCACTTTTTTCTTCAATTCCCACCACAATAGCTCAAGTATATTGAGATCAGGACTTTGTGTTGGCCAGTCTTCCAAAACTTGAACATCTTCATGCAGAAGAAACCATTTTGTTGCACATGAGGTGTGGCAAGGTGCACCTTTCATGATGAACAATTTCTCCATCTTTGTAATCTGGCAGAAGATTAGACCGTTGTAAACTAATATAGTTTTTGCTATTTAGATTTCTATCAAATTTTACCAATTTTCTTCTACGATCACTTTGGATGTAACCACATGCCATTATGTGACCATCACCAAATTTCACCATCTTTCTGGTGTAGCTTGCATTGTTTTGTTCTCTCACATATTTTCTTGCATTTGAATGTAACTTTATTTTGCATTCATCATTAAATATTCCTTTTTACTATTTACATTGTTCAGACTGTTGTCCTCATCTTTATTGTCATATTTACAAAATTTCAACTATTGTACGCTCCGACCTTCTTCAGGTGATATACGTCATAATTTAAAGCAAACCCTTTATTTAGTCCACTGAGGTAGATTGTTCTCATTCCACATGCCATGCCTTTTCTGGATATCTCAGTTCCAGTTGTTTCCTTTTAGTAACTCAACTCTCCAAGATTTTGTTCACCTCTACTTTGGCCAGGTATTGAACTCACAACTTTTTGGCATCCAATGTTAGATATGCTTTTTACCATTTCAATTTTCTATTCCAATGATTTTTGGTTAAGGATGTTTTTTTTTTTTTTTTTTTTTACTGCTATACGTCAGTTTAAGTTGTTTTTTGTAACACTTGTGTACTGTATTGGCTGAAACGTCACTGTGAAGTCTAAATTCACTCTTCCCTTGTCTGGTTGTTAATTTTGGATTGTCTACTGAGACTCTCACAATACTTCTTTCATTTCTCTTGTCAAACTTTTGTCATCTTCCAGTTTTCTTTGCTTCCAGTAGCAGCAAATGTCTTTTGGATGGTTTAAACACTGTTTCTGAAAATTCTCAACCACCTGGCCATCTCTTGTTGACTCCTGTTCCCCTTTAAAGTTACAACGTTTGTTTCAGCAGAAATTTTAGCCTTGACTTTAGTGTAAAAAAAAAGAAAAAAAAAAAAAAGCAAGCTAATTTTCAAACACAATATTTTGTCAAGGCACCTTATATTCATGTTAAAAAGATGGAACAATTCCTGCTTATTATCATGACTTTATCATCTCAAATCTTTCATTGACCCAATAATTTTGCATTTACTTTGTTGGATTAATTCCCCCTGATGATAAAATCTTACTGTAGTGGGATTTTTTAATTATCACACCCAATGATATTTACAGGTGGTGCAAAAGACTCAATGTCTTTCTTGGTGACTTTTCATAATGAAAAGACGTTGAGTAATCAACTGCAGACACTTAAAGTTGTTTTGAACTTTTCACATTTTATTTCATTTCTCATCTTTTCTTTTGTAAAATGTCCTGTCAATATATTTGTTAATATTGCTTTACCTAAGTTCTATGCCTTATTTTTCCTTTGGACTTAAATGAGTCCACCAAAATTGTTAGCAGGTCAAACATATCAGGAGTTTATAACTTCGCATCAAAAGCAACAACTTTTTCAGCTTCAAGCTGCTTAAAGTGGAGTATTTTCTGTTACAATGGTACCCATGAAAATGCAACAACTTATTTTCCAATCCTCAAGATTCACACAGATTACTGATAAAAGCATACTACTAAGAATCTTAACTTCTTAATAAAATAAAGGTGTATAATCATTTTATGTAGTTGGCCCAAAACTTTTGCATGCCAGTGTATGTTATATAAGTTTTTTGTCTACAATTGTGTTAATTGTATGGTTCAATCATCATTTACATCAAATATATATATATATACTAGGGCTTTAAAAATAGAAATTTTAAATTTGATTTATTTTTTTATGGCTTATCAACCCTTTCAACACAATTCTTTTGCTTTATTACATGTTGCTTTGTCTAGTTTTGACTTCCATATATATTGTTTGCTCTGTTCTTTTTCATCATTTTCTTATTGTTTATTGAGAACTTTGTCAATTTTGTTTTTTGAATATTTTGCTAATTACACATAACCATGGCTAATTATTCCACAATTTCTTTTGTCTTTTATTAATGAAATATATTTAGTATATTTGTTCCAAAATTTGATATGGTTTTATTCAGTTTTAGTTCTTTGTACTTTACGCTTCTAGAATTTGTAGTCATTTTTACAGTTTATCTGATATAGCATTTTTGTGTCTTCGTCTAAATTTGATTTGTTTTTTATGACTTATCAACCCTTTGTGGGTCATTTAAAGCTGAAACATATTTTAGATTCTAAGAATAATTCTTTTCTTGTGAGTGAATATTGCCTCAACAATTTTTGAGAATAACAATAACAATTTTCCAGATACAAGTCCTACTATTAATAAGCTATTATCACAAAGCTTTTTGTGTTTTTTACATGACAATTTGCGTTACCATTTGTGTTGTTTTCAATCACAATGGAATCATTGCTAAAAACATCCCTTCCTCAGTTTTATAGACAAATCTTACAGATTCATATTTCTTCATAAACAATGAAAAAGCAACCACTTCTTGGTCTCATCTGGCGTATTTTTGTTCTTTCTTGTCTTGAAGTCAGTTTAAGTACACACTGCCTGGCCCAGGAATTGAACTCACAATTCTTATGTCAATTTTGTTTCTTGAGTATTTTGCCAATTACACTTAACTGTGGCTAATTATTCCACAATTTCTTTTGTCTTTTATTAATGAAAAATATTTAGTATGTTTTTTTCCAAAATTTGCTAAAATTTCATTGAGTTTTGATTCTTTGTACTTTTACACTTCTAGAATTTGTAGTCATTTTTTACAGTTTATCGGATGTAGTATTTTTATATTTTTGTCTAAATTTTTGGAATGAGGATTTATCATTATTTACATTTGGATTATTGTCCTCAACTTTGTTATTGTTATGACAATGTTTCGGCTGTTGTGCCCCCTGGCTTTCATCAGGTGTATATTGACCTGACTAACCTAGAGTGAATTCTGAACACTTTTGTTCATATTCCACTACTCATGCCTACGGATATATCTTCTAGTTTTTATTTTTAATGCTGCTCAATCATTGCTTCCCTGTTTCCACTAAGTCCAAGTACACACTACCCGGCCCAGGGATTGAACTCACAATTACTATGTTATCAAATTCACAAACCAACTGTTTTTTTTTTGTTTATTTTAATCATTTAACACCTAAGCAAGGTAATAAAGATGCAAGGGGTTACTGAGTGTGAGAGAATATGAGAAAAAAAAAACATTATTAAGCAGAGATAACAATAAAAGAACAGAAATTAAGATAAAAGATAATGCATTTAAATTTTTGAGGATTAAAATAGCCTGGGAAGGAAGAAGTTGGAAGAGAGTTCCACAAGCGAGAAGTGCAACAGAAGAAACTATTAGCAGAGAACTTAGGGTTACATCTAGCAGCCATTTTGACTGTAAATTTATGAGACTTTGCTGCCAAACTAGTACTGAATTTAAATTCATAAAGTCTAGGTACCAGAGTAGAAAATTCATCAGAACAATTACCATGAAAGTATCTATAGAAAGGACAAAGGGAAGTGATGTTATGACAGTAAGAAAATGACCGAAGCTGACATGCCAGGTTAGGACCAATAACATTGCAGATTCTACTTTGTATTGACCTGAGTAACCTACAGGGAATTCTGAATCCTTTATTAAATATATGAGGATAGACTGTTCCCATTCCACTGCTCACTGCCTAGGGATATATTTTCTAGTTCTTATTTTTAATGCTGCTCAGTTATTGCTTCCCTGTTTCCATTAAGTCCAAGTACACACTACCTGGCCCAGGGATTGAACTCACAATTACTATGTTACCAAATTCACAAAACCAACTGTAGTTTTGTTTTTGTTTATTTTAATCATTTAATCCCCAAGCAAGGTAATAATGATGCAAGGGGTTATTGAGTGCAAGGGAATATGTGAAAAAAAAAAAACATTATTAAGTAGAGATAACAATAAAATAACAGGAATTAAAAAGACAGAAGATAACGATTGACACTGCATTTAAATTTTTGAAGATCAAAGTTAACTGGGAAGTAAGAAGCCGAAAGAGATTCCCACAAGCAAGACACGTGATAGAAGAAAATATTAGCATAGAACTTACAGTTGCATCCAGCCACTTCAACTTTAAAATGATAAGACCTTTACCATGAAAGTATTTATAGAAAAAGCATAGCGAAGCTATATTATAGCAGTGAGAAAGTGAAGCTGAAATGCCAGGTCGGGACCAAAAAAACTGCTGATTATTCTTTGGATTTTATCAAGAATCTCTAAATATATAGCAGAAGCACCAGACCAGATATCATCAGAAACAAACCCAGATTGACATACACCTGATGAAGACTGGAAGGTGCAATGGTCGAAATGTTGTGAAAACAGCAACAAAGAATAAGACAATAGTCTGAATATAAATAGTGTGAATATTTTTATGTTATGGCTAAGCATTTGCTGCATTTCATGTATTTTTGTTGTTTGAAGATACTTCTCTTTCTCAGTATTAAATTGGGAATTTATTTTGAATTGCTTTGTAAAAATTGATTTCAATAGTAATTAAAAATTATTACCAAACAGATAAAGAAGGAAGGAAACCCACCTTAACAAGCCAAGCACGAATACAAAGAGGATGAAAAAGGTGCTGGCAGGGAAGCTGGGCCATTGTCTCATTTAATTCCCAAGAACACAAGCATATTGGGCAGCTGGCATCTTGGTCTGAAAATGAAAATTCAGAAAAACGTTTATTTTGGTAAAAAAAAATATATCTATGTTTCTGAGATGAGATATTATGTACACTATTTACATTATTCAGACTATTGTTCTCATCTTTGTTGCCATATTTATTACAACATTTCGGCCGATGTACACTCCGGCCTTCTTCAGGTAGTTGGAATAAAGGGTTCAGTTTGACATTCCAACCACATGAATAAGGACAGAGCGTACAATGGCCAAAACATTGTAATAAATATGGTGACAAAGATGAGGACAATAGTCCGAATAATGTAAATAGTTTTAGTAAAAAGAATTTACAAAAAAAAGTGGTTTATATTTTGTTAATATGTTACAGAGAAAACTATATATATATATATATATATATATTAAGCAATTCACCTCAAGCAAGGTGGGAGTGCTACTAGCACGCAAGATGCGTGTTTGAGGAAAGGATAAAGTGAAAGACGGAACAAGATCAAAGTATCAGAAGATGTCAATTGACATTATACTTGAACATTTGATGATTATAGTTATCAGGGAAGTAAGCAAGGGGAAGAGCCTTCCACAGATGGGAAATGCAAGAGAAGAAGCTGTTTGAGTAGAAGAGACAGTTACATTTAACTGTTTCGACAGTGAAAGGGTGGGACTGAGATGCCAGCCTAGTAGCTTGCTAAAATTCATTCAGTTTGGGAACCAGTGAAAGTAGCTTGTCAGAACAGTTGCTACAAAAATACTTGTAGAAAAGACAGAGGGAAGCTACTGCACATCTGTGAGAAAGCAACTGTAGACTAGATGCCAGATCAGAACCTATTATATTGCATATTCGTCTCTGGATTTTGTCGAGGACCTCGAGACATACAGAGGGGGCACCAGAACGGTTGGTTGATTTATAGATTTGAAGGATGGACTCAGACGAGAAAAACTTTCTGGCATGACATAGAGAACCAACTTTCTTTGCGGTAGATGAAGCTATTAATTCAATGTATTTATTCCATCTTATATCAGCAGACAGTGAGAGACCAAGCAGGCGTAACAAGGCACCCTCGAGGAGTTGGGAATCAGCCATTCCGATGAGAAGTCGAAAGGGTTCTCTGTTGTGGGTAAAGGAGAGCAGTTCCGTTTTGAAGACATTAAAATTTACAAGCCATTTCCTGTCCCAGTCAACCACAAACTGGAGGTCCTTTTCGAGATCAGCAGCCAGGTTAGTTTTGTCAATGATACTAGATTTACTATTGAGGCAGGAGTAGTGGTATCATCCGTGTAGATGCCAACTTGGGAACTGATGACATCAGGAAGGTCATTGATGTAAATCAAGAACAGTGTAGGGCCCAAGATAGAGCCTTGGGGAACACCAACGTTCATGATAAGGGTTTGAATTCACCTGAAGATTGCATTAACCGTATGAAACTTCGAGTAGTGTTATCGATGTTGGATATTATGTATATTCACTAATATATACTTATAGCTCTGATTCATAACATCGAGCACTATTTATAACACCTTAGGAATAAATATACTTATGTATGTGCAAGTATTTGTGCATGTATGTACATTTTTTGTATCCATTTCTCTCTCTCTCTCTCTATATATATATATGTGTGTGTGTGTGTGTGCATGTGTAATACAAATCAATATAGTTGTGGATGATGTGCTCAAAGGAGACGACAGTGAAACAGAGTTGAAGGAATGTAAAGTTTGTAATCTAGTCATGTAACTTAAGTACATGTCAGGACTATTTGTTGTTGACTATGAAATTCGTATAAAGCAACTAGTAAGCATTTTGCAGCATTGTTTAAGTGCTGAAGGTTGTAGTACTCTTCAAAACTCCAGTACATTTTGAGAACAATGCAAAAGTAAGTGATTTAATCACCTTAGAGAACCTTTTCTGCCTTCTATCAGTATGGCTGATGCTAACCTCCAAGAGAACAAATCTTTGCACCTTCTTGGGCTCATATTTTCCATTGATATGAAGTGAAGTGATTATATTGAATCAATTGCTAGTCTACTGCTCAGAAATTTGGTTCATTGTGTTGTGCCAGACAATTCTCTGCCTCAGAATCCATCTTGCACATTGAATACTGTTGCCATATCTAGTCTAGGGAACCTACTATATATTTGGAGATTCTTGACAAAATTCAAAGATGGGTCTGTAATGTAATCTATCTTGACCTGGCGTCATGACTTTAGTCACTTTCTCACCGACATGACGTGGCTACCCTCTGTCTTTTCTTTTAATATTTTCATGGCAAGTGCTCTGATGAGCTTTCCTCCATTGTACTTTAATTGCATGAATTTGAGCATGTTAGTAGATTGGCAAATAGGGCTTACAGCTTTACTGTTCAACTAGATAGATGCATCTGTTCCATTTTAATTGATTCTTATCTTGCACTTCTTACCTGTGGAATTTCTTGCTTCCCTGCCTATAATCTATAAAAATTTAAATGCAATGCAATCACTCTCTTCTGTCTTCCTGAATCTTGTTCCTTTAGTTTTTCTCTTTACTTCTTCTCATTAAAGTTTTTTCACTCTCACACCCTGTAATCCTTTGCATCCTAATGGCGTTATTGGCTTCCTTTAGGTGAAATGATTTAAAAAAAAATTTGGTGAAAGCACACAAATAGATATAAGCTTATGTGAATAATGGAAGTCCCTCACTCATTTCCTCTCTCTTCACAGACAATAAGTTGGTAAAATTTCCCTACCTGGGACAATAAAAGCAGTCAGTTCAGATTATATGTGCTTTGCTGTTTAACATAATGAGAAGGAACCTCACTTTCAATGAAAAGATGTCTCATTCAGTTTTCAACAAGAGGCAGAGAGAGGCCAATTTTAGCATACTGGTCCCAAGAAAGCCACAGAAATGAATGTGACAATGCAACCGACTGATTCCATATCTGAACAATGATAATGGTTGCCAAAACTCCCTTTTGAGCTATGACAACAATTACCAGAAGTTGGGAGTAGAAACACAAACTTCCAACCATGTAAGATATTGTGACAATGTCACAGTGGTAGTAGATGATGTGTAGCCAGCCGTACTTACCTATATCCTCTTGGGTGGCATGGATGGATTGTAAATTTTCAATAACTGTTTGTGTCGCTGGAGGTGGAGCCTGGTCGTTGAGGAGGTCGGGGTGCACGGCCAGCATCTGCAGGATCACATTCTAAGAAAGGAAAAACACAAAACATACTTTTTCTTTAATCTATAAAAATTGCATCTCATATTTACTATTTATATATATATATATATATATATATATATATGAATTGAGATCAAATATGGTATCCAACAGAATGATAGAATAAAGAACAAATAGGAAATGTTTCTCAATCTAACATGTTTCACTTTTATTAAAGCTTCATCAGAGTATGTGATATGGAGAATAAAATTCTGGTATTTTTATTTTTGTATCTTTGATTTTACAAATGCTACCCTAATTAAAAATAAAGAACATAATTCTTTAAGGGCAGATTGTTCCAATGACCCAGTGGATAAAAGCATTGGTTGAAGTAATCCAGTGACCTGAGCCAAAGAGTTGTGAGCTCAATACCTGGTCACAGCAGAGGTTAACAAAAATTTGGAGAGTTGTGTTACTTTTGTGATGTATGGTGGCCATTAATTTTTGTGATGTTGGATGGCTTCGTCTGTCACTGTTGCTATGTCAAACAAAAGCTCGTTAACACTTCTAAAAATGCTCGTTATATTTGAGACTTTGTAGACGTTGGTACTAGTAGTAATGCCTTCCAATAATATCCACACTAGTAATACTTGTTCAAGTAGTAATTGCCAAATAGTATAATGATCAGAAGAGAATCGTAATCTGTATAGTAGTAGAAAGAGTGAACATATAACAATAGTAGATAGACAAAAAGAGTGAACAGTAATCGTATAGTTATCACGCTACTTCCTATTTATTCACTTCCTTTATGATCACATGATCTACTTAATAATGGAATCACCCGTGTTACTCACTGGTGATCTAGTTTCAAACCAAAGTGTCAGCAACGACACTTACTCTTATACAACATTAATAATTAAGTATAACTCAAGACTTCAATGTTGAAATAAAACAGTATTTAATTACAACCGCAAATAAATACTTAACAAGAACAAAGAAGTAAAAGTCAACCAAAGATAATTAACCATTTCAGTGAATACCTTGTTAGTAGCGCGGCTCGGCTTAACGTCCGGTAAATCCTAAATCAAAACCCAAATCATCGACACACAATAATTCACACTAATTCGACTGGATAGTTCTACTCATTAATCACTTCAGTCGGTAGCCTGACACCGCTATGTATACACTTGGCAGAAAACATATATTCATAAGTTCAGAGTGTCATGCTTGAACCTTGTGTTGGTAGTTATCCATTTTCTTCCTATATGACAGTTACTAAAAGGGAGATATCCAGAAAAAGCATGGCAATCTACTCTGGTGTATGAAACAAAAGGTTCTGTTTGAAATTCCAACATATATTACCTGAAGAAGGCCGGAGCATAAAACGGCTGAAATGTTGTGAATATGACAATAAAGATAAGGACAATAGTTTGAACAATGTAATTAGATTCCATTTTCTTTTTCTCCTTCATATTTCATTCTCTGATGAAGCTTTATTAAAAGTGAAACATGTTAGATTTATAAACATTTCCTATTTGTTCTTTATCCTTCTCATTGTCAGATTCCAATCCATATTTGATCCCAATTCATATATTTATATATACTCTTATTTTATTTTAGACAATAGGTTAATAAAGTTTCAAATGACTTATCTTTCAACTAATTTCAAAGTTTCATGGGCAAACTGCTCATCAGTGTCAGATAAAGCTTTTGAATTTATTAACATATCTTCTGTTTATATTCTACATGAGTGCTTCTCAACCTTTTTCAGCCCATAGACCATTTTTTTCTTCAAAAAATTCAAATGGATCACTCCTACTTTTACTTTTAGGCTGTTCAATTTTCACATTAAAATACTCAATGAAAAGACATATATAAAGATATATATATATAATAAATATATATGATAATAAGTAAAATAAATACAGCACTGCATAATACGTACATAATTTTGAAATTTTCAAATATAATGAACATATTAAACAGAATATATTTTTTAATTCTTCAAAGTTTGAATAATTTCGATACATTTTTGTGAAATGGCTACAATTTTATATGGCTATGACTTCTCTGTGGACCACTAGAAATGCTATGTGGACCACCTGGACCACATTGAGAAAAACTGCTTTACAAAAAAAAAAAAAAAACTTTAATCATAGACACCAAATTTGAAATTTGTAGTATGTCAAAAATTGTTAATGTGACATTTAAATATTCAAAAGCATTATATCATGATAATATTAAAGTTTAAAATGTTTGATTTTTATATTTTTATAGAATTTTGCACAATAAAATATATTTTTGAAAAAAAAAAATTTTAAAATTAGTCATTTTACTTAAGGCTTTTGGTATGTAAGGGAGACAATAGCTTACAAAACTTGGCATGTTCCCCCCCCCCCAATTTTTGTGTCTAAGGGAGACAATCAGTTACAAAAGCTGATAATTTATGTACATACACCCACTACAAAAGGACACTTATACTAAGGATCAGAAAGAGACTAGTTCTGGGTATGATGATAAACTATATCTGGCAGCAAGGCCTCTAATCAGGAGATTGGAGGTTTTGAGGAGTGTGGAACCATCTCTTAATTGCTGGTGTTCCCACATCCACCCTTACTCGGGATGGTAGCATTTGTTAGGGTCCCAGTTATGGGCAAAATAGTGACCCTCTCAAACAAAAAAAAAAAAAAAAACCTACGAAAGTATAAAAATACATTTTTATAATAAAACTATCAGCAATACATTTTTCTATAAAATTGCCAATAATATCTATTTATAGTAAAATTACCAACAATACATCAATCAACAAAAGAACTCTTCTCATGACATTAATCCATATGATATCCTAGAATTTCTTAAAGAAATCAAACTATAACTTCAACAAAACTACAAAATAAAGCACATATATCACTGTCTCTAGTAATTATGTTCACACATAAATCTGCCTCGTCAGTCATGTATTGAAAGATACGTGTATCATGCATGGCACATAACTGACTGAAGGTGAAGTTTGGGGCATGATCCCCCCGAATCAGGGCTTAGTTAATTTGTGTTGGGGACCAAAACTTGAGAAAAATAGGCCACAAGTATAGAGGACTCAGTGAAAACTGAAATTCCTATTTACTAGTAATAGTTAACCAGACTAGATTGTTAACCATTACCACACACTGAAAGTGCCTGAAAATAATCAGATAAATATAGGTATTGTATTTATTGCCTACTTTTCTCAGCCCAAGACAACTGGGATCTGAATGACTCTTGGCTTTAAATATTGGTATTGTGTCAACATTTTAAGCCATAAACATTACTATCTAGTAAACTTTTCTAGCTTAAAATGATTAAGATTCCTATAAAATAATCAGTCAGTTAAGCACCATAAGCAACACAGGCTTGTGTCTTTCGATTCATGACTGACTAGATTTTCCCACAGTAGGTTGCCATTTCTCTTTGAGGTAGACTGGTTGCCAACAAAGACTATATGACTCCTGCTATTTAACTCATAGCTGGGGAGAGAAGAGACGGATTTATACCTTTCGCAAGTGTATTTGCATGTAAGTGAATGCAACAAACCTGACTGGAATTTGAACTTGGCTCTCCGATTTCTCATTCTGAGCCACTATCCATCACACCATAAAGTATTTCTTTTAATATGAATCACAATTTTTTCATTTATTTAAATAATGTAGGTGATCATCGTTTGCCAGAGTTTCCTTGACTTACAGCCACATCATGTTGAAACACCAGTTTCTTGTATGATCACCAAAGTTAAGCAATGTCAAGTTTTATCAGTACATAGATGGGTGACTGCTTGGGAATATCAGGTTCTGTGAGCTTGAATGTACAGATGGCGTAATGGTAATAGCTCGGAATTGTTAATTGGAGAGCCGAGTTCTAATTCCAGTTAGATTCAATTACTTGCAAATACTCTTGGGAATGGTATAGGTTCACCTCTCCTCTCCCTGGTTATGGGTTAATTAGTAATTAATTAGTAATTAGTAATTAATTGTATCACTAAAATCGTTATTTTCTCAAAAAAAAAACATTCTTAGAATCTAAAAATATTTTCTGGCTTTAAATAACCTTCAGAGGGTTTATAAGCCGCAAAAAAATGAATCAATCAATCAATCAGAGTTTCCTTTAATATTTGTGAATTATCAAGATATCTTGGGTAAAATAGTGGTGCGGCTTTCTGTTGCTGCCTTCCCAGTTTTGAATTCTTCATAGTCCTACTCCTATATTGGCTCCCAGCCAAGGCTAGAGAGCCTAGTTTACTTTGCTATTTAACTGATAGCTGAGAGTGGGATAGGGGTGAAGAAATAGGTTCATTTCTTAAAGTTTTAATTAACATGTTGAATAAAGTCAAAGAGTAGAAGGAAAGCTACTTACTTGAAACATGAGTTCCAACATATCCCGTCGGGCATCCTGACGCATTAACAGCAAGTCCAGGGGATTCAGCTCAGCAATGTTAATGTCTAATGGATTATCTTCAGACAGACTTGTTGACCTGATGATTTTTTTTCCAAATGAAACCATTTTATGAAGCCAATATGGATAATTGGAGAAAATGCAAAAGATAATATGTAAGAATTTGGAGAAGGAAAACATAATAAAACACAAAAAACAGATATTTTAAATTTAAATCAGGTAAGTGTCTATTTCAAGAGTTGTTTTGACATTTGAATTTTTTTGTTCACACATGGCTGATCTATTCAGATTTTTTTCTCCAGGTATACAATCAATGTAGACTGAATGGGGTTTCATTTCTGGCACCAGTTATGTAACCAGAAAACAGAACAAAAAAAAAAAAAAAAAGAACCCCCCCCTCAAAAAAAATAATGAATCATTCAGGAAATTTCATATATCACTTCAAGGCTCTATCCATACTGTAGCTGAAACAGCAAGATAGCCTGATGAAACCCACCCTACTTGGCTGGTTTTGAATTCAGAGAATTCCTTTTCCTAGACTGGTTGTCATCTCAAAGCAAGAGAACTCAGTCTGTCTTGCTATTTATCTTATAGCTGGAGAAAGGTGGCTTTGTGCCTTTTCCAAGTGTCTGTATATTTGCCATCAGTTTTATTTTTAGTAATTATTGTAATTTTTACAAGATTTATGATGTACTATTTTACTTATAATGAAAATATGAGCAAAACAATATCAAAATTAATTAAATATTGCTGTCATATTTTGACACTATAGGTAATGTCAGATTTTTATCTACACAATTAACTTTATTGTTGTAAGAAAGAATTCTGCTTTTTAGATCATTAAAAGTAAAAATATCCAAAGAAAGCTTACTAGATTAGCACTGTCAAAATATGATGGCCATATTTAAGTAATTTTACAACTGCATTGTTTATATTTTCTGCGTGTTTAATCTAGGATTTTTATCTGTACAATTAACTCTACTGTCTCATATAAGTAAAAATTCTGCTTTTTAGATCATTAAAAGTAAAAATATCCAAAGAAAGCTGACCAGATTTGCACTGTCAAAATATGATGACCATATTTAAGTAATTTTACAACAGCATTGTTAATAGACAGAGAAAGGAAAGAGACAGGAGTTAAAATAACATTCTCTCAGAAACCACAGTATGGTGGGTGGCAGAGCAACTTTAGAAACAAAATGACCACAGGACTGACTTCCCAAGATACTGACTTTTGCCAACTGCCCATTGCTGGTTTTTCCACAGGTTTTATTGGCATGAGGCAGCTTACAAAGACCAGGATCTTGATCTAGTGGCCCATATCTAGACAACACTCATTACATCTGGGAAACCCAGATGTAATGAGTGTTGACAGACATGTCTTCACGTGACTCAAGACTTCTTTTGCATCTGTACTGATATGTGTTTGCCACAATTTCAAGAACAATTTTAGGGAAAAAAAACACCAAGTGGAAAAAAGTTTTTGTGTGACATGTTTCATCCTTTAGGACTTCATCAGATTAAAACGATGTTTACATTGATGCAACTACACATGCACAAAAAGGAGAAAGTTTTTATTGTTTCCAAAAAGCTTAACCAAATATTAAATACATAGTCATGTGCATAGATGTTAAAATACTTTATTCTTTTTATAACTCCCTAGGAACAGGTTTTTATTGTCTTCAAACATTGTAATAAAATAAATTATAGAAAATATTCATGCTCATGTGTACATATCTAGATATACATAAAATAATTTGGACATATGTTTATATGGACATTTTACCTTGCTTTGGTGTCAGGAACCCACCCCCAAAGTTTGTAAAAGTATTTTGGGATTGTACATGTAACAGCATCTACCATAAATTTGAAACTTAATAACTCAAAAATGAAGTTAAACATTGAAGACAGACTAGCCAGAAATGTACATGAATGACAAATGTAACCTAGTCTAAATGTCAACACAGTGCCATCTACTGCAAATTTTCTTCAAACTTAATGACTCAAAAATAAGGGATTTTGTCCTTGTTTTGGTATGAGAAACCTGTACCCAAAGTTTGTAAAAGTATTTTTGATACACCCTTTATCTACATGAAATAAAAGTTATAACATATTTATATCTACAAAGGAAAGTCAAAAATTACTGACACTCATAACACAGATATGTTATGTCAAAAGTGTAGATAATTTTTGAATTACCCTTGTACATTAAATAAGAGTTATAACATATTTATATCTACATCAAATAACAGCAGTTATAACTAGATTTGAACAAGTTTTATTGTCTCAAAACAACTTAATAAAATAAATTATAGAAAATAATATTTGTTAAAGAAGGCTTCCAATAATTTTAGAACATTTAAAATCAATGCAAAACCAAGTTATCCCACTTGAAAATTAGTGCGAAACCAAGTCATCTCTCTTGAAAATCAGTACAAAACCAAGTCATGCCTTTTTGAAAATCAGTGCAAAATCAAGTCATCCCACTTGAAAATCCAAATTTAAAAGTCTGAACCCTAATCTAACAAAATATTTAAAAAATACTCACCAATCATTATGCTCAGAACTTAGAGATCCACTGCTTCCAGTGTTAAGAAGTACCGAAGCAGTTGATGTGGGCAAAGGACTACTGCTAGCAGCAATGGCAGTAGCCGCTGCAGCTGCAGCGGCTGCTGCTGTCTCTGGTTCATTTCCTTGGGAACTTGGTCGGTGACTGAACACATCTCTCATTTGTTGGCAATGAATACAGTCACACTCAAATTCATCATCAGCATCAGCACTGTCAGTGTCTCCATCGAGTCCAGAGTGTGTTTCAGACTGCAATAAGAGAATTGTTTTAGGATCAAAAAAATAGAGAGAGAAGTCTCTTTCAGCCTGGGGTGTATTTAACTCTTTTACCCACATCACTTTTTAAGTACCCTCTTATTTAAAAATTTGTCTCCCCACCACATGAGGTACATTATGGAAATATTATTGATCTCATTAACTCATAATATATTATTTTGGGATGTTGTTGTATATATATTAATTTGTTGTACATTGATTTGCAAGATTTCATTGAGATATTTTCAATTCTGTGAGTCCGCAGGCCATTAGATGTAGACATAACAAACACTGTTTAAAAAATGGGGCCTCTATTTCAAACACGAGTATTTCTTTTTATTTTTTAATTGAGTTCACCCCAAACAAGTCAGTAAAGCCACTAAGACACAAGGGGGCTAATGGGTGTGGAAGAATTATAAAACAGAAACATTAATAAGGAACAAGAACAAAAGAAGAGTAATTAGGAGGACAGTAGATAGCGATTGTCATTACATTTAAATTTTTGGAGATTAAAGTTGACCAGAAAGCATGGAGCTAGAAGGGAGTTCCACAAGTGAGAAGTGCAAGAAAATAAACTGTTAGCATAGTACTTATGGTTACATCTAGCCAACTCAACTGTAAATTGATGCAATCTTGTCTTCAATCTGCACTTAAATTAATAAAGTCTAGGTACCATAGCAAAGAAGTCATCCAAACAATTACCATGAGAGTATTTATAGAAAAGGCACAGAGGCAACTTTACGGTGGTGAGAAAATGACTGAAGCTGAGACACCAGATCAGGGCCAATAATATTGCTGATTTTTCTTTGGATTTTATCAAGGATCTCTAGCTAAATAGCAGGAGCAACGGGCCATATGTGGCAGCAATATTCTAAGCATGGATGAATGGTAGACTTGTAGATATATAAAATAGACTCTGGAGAGAAAAACTGCCTAGTAAGATACAGTGAACCAACTTTTTTAGCAGCTGACCTAGCATTGGATTCAATATAGACTTTCCACTTCGTATCAGCTTAGAACGTTAGCCTAAGAAGACTGGCAGACATAATACACATTGTTTAAAAAACATGGCTTCTATTTCAAACATGGGTATCCACTAAAAAAATAAGATTTGAAGTAATAAGAATGACAAATTAAAAATAAATCCATTATTTATTTAGAAACTTCTTTGTTTACTTTATGAAATCAAGCAGATATAGGTTTTTGAGGAAATCTGAACAAGGGGATGGGCATTTCTTAAAAGGGGAGATATATAGTAAAGGTAATAAGTCCGTTGGTATATAATCCAAGTGGATCCTAGTAATATAAAATATTAAAATTGATCCAGAAAAAGAGCTCAATGTATTTATTATAACAGAGGCAATACAACAAAATCCAAAATTACCACATATAGGGTGGGGGTAGATCTATTTCAACCAACGAAAAGTTCATCAATCTTATTCAACCCTGGTATATAGACTGACTTTGTGTCAGAATTAGAAATTTAACTGTGACAGCCATCAAAAAACTGATACAGAATTTATCCAATTCAATGTTTCAGTCATATTAAATGCACAAGACAGTAGTCGGGGGGGGGGTATTAACCTAAAAGAGAAGACACAAACTCAATTTATACACTGGGGTTGAATAAGACTGACAAAGGTTTTCATCGCTTGAAATAGGTCTATCCCTCACATGAGGTAATTTTAGATTTTGTTGTGTAATACTATATATATATATATAGTTGTATTAGTAAAACTCAAAATTAATTCTTTTTTTTTTTGTGTACAAAATTGTTTCCAATTTGAATTTCCACATTCACATATATTAACCAATCAGCAATATTATAATAACACTGACACCTTTGAAATTTTTAGTTGACTATGTTTGTTTCCTTCTAAGAAATTTGTAGGATCACTCCAGAAAATGACCAATAATTTTTTCCTCCTAAAAATAGATAATTAAAAATTGGGAAAAATATTTATTAACCAATAAAATCTGAGTTTAAAACAATCTAAATTTTAGATTTCTGGAGCCTATTTATTTCTTACAAATATTTGTGATGCTAAGTTAGTTATTCAGTTTTTCGGTAACCCTTTGACCAGGCTCAGTTGTTCATTGTGGAGAAACTAAATTCTTAAAACTTCTTGCATATTTATTTTAGTATACTTTATTATAAAAGCTTAGCAATGTTCAATTATCACATTTAGAACATACAGTTATTGTCAACACAGATTTCTTTGTCTGCTGGCATGCTGACTACTACAAAATTATACGCATTCATAAAACAATGTAAATATGTTACACTCTCCTAATGTAGATACATTCTGTTTCTTCTTTCATACTTATGCAATTGATTCAGTTGTAGTGTAAAGAAAGAAAAACAAAAATATTTTTTGTTTGAATTTGTTTTGTGAAGATTCTTTATAATTTGTTTCTTTCAATTTGAAAGAAAACAAATACTCAGTAAAAATATTTATTCAAATTTGTAGAGCCATGTTTAAAGATTGTTTATTTTCTTTGTTTTCATATGCCTAATCTTGAATATATATATATATATATATATATATATATATATATATATACACACACACACACACACACACATTCTACAAAAGGTGTGTGTGTGTGTATATATATATATATATATATATATATATATATACACACACACACACATACACCCACCGAATGTAACAGCAAAAATTGTCCAATTGTAACAGTATGGTTTGAAATATTTGTATCTTAGAAATGAATAAAGATATTTTACTGGAATTCTCCAATGTTTTTATAACCCTACTGGACTCTACTTTGAGCAATAATGTATTTAGCTCTAAGTTGAAATGATGATCCTTCTTGCTGTTGTGACCTCCTGATCCAATTTTTCTCTCAACTCTTCCATCTTTTTTAAACTTATTCACCATTCACTTGATAGTTCTTGAATGGAATTGGAAGATGGAAGCCAGAGTATGTATGTTCATACCATTACTGAAGGCCTGAATGATCTTTTTCCTCTCACCAATGCTCATTTGGTAAGGCATAGTGGGTCTGACACAATGACAAAATGATTTTAACCTGTTCTTTTTCTAGCTGAATAACTCAAAAGGTTTTTCAGTGATTCTTATGACAAATTGTATCAAGATGGCTAAATGTCTTATCTGAAAACATGGAAAAAAAGAAACTCAATTAGTTTAGTGGGTTTTCAGATATTAAACATTTGTGTTGGATGGATAATTATCCCATGTTGTTACATGATTTGAACAATTTTGCTGTTACAGGATTTGGACAATTTTGCTGTTACACCCCAGTATATATATATATATATATATATATATATATATATATATATAACATTATTATTTATTTACTCATTAACAATCTGTTTCATGCAGTGCAATTTTCAAAATGGCCATTTGTTTTCTGGAGCCATATAATTCTTTTTCATGCTTTTGAAAAGGAATGTGTTAGCATACCCATAGTTCAAAATAATTTAATTCTTTTTGGTTATTAGCCCATTCATGTTCTTCAATTCTATGATTTTCAATTTCTTTTTCTAGATGGAAACATTAAACAAAGAATAAAAAAAAACATAACAACAAAATACTAAATAGTGTGGACTATTTCACTTAGTTTCACCAAAACAGCTGTTGTCTACAAAAAGACAAAGATTTCTTTCTTTTTCTCTCTCTTCCTCAAGATGTAGCAGATTGTCAGTAAGAACTTCACTGTTGGGGTATATTCATTTCCCCCTGTACACTGACTACTGAATTCTCACACACATGCACTGACAAACACACAGGTCTATCATATATGCTTTTAATATATTGTCCTTTACTTTCAACTGAGTACAGTCCTGGGTATGATGATAAACTATATCCAGCAGCAAGGCTTCTGATCAGGAGATTGGAGGTTTTGAGGAGTGTGGAATCACCTCGGAATTGTTGTTGATTCCAGGGCCACCCTGATCTGGGGTTGTAGCACCTGTTAGGGTCCCAGCTATGGGCAAATAGTGAACTCCTAAACAAAAACAAAACACTATGAAAGTATAAAATTACATCTTTATAGTAAAAATACCAGCAATAAATTTTTATATAAAAAACTTATTAACAATACATTTTATCAGTAGTTGAAGACATACAAATGCTGTTCAAAATATTTAGATTTTGGCATTAAATAACCCATCAAGGTTGTTATGTCACTAAATAAAATCAACCAATCAAACAACCAACATGAAAGAACTCTTTCATGACATTCTTACAATTTCTTAACGAAATCAAAATGTATTGTGAAATATAAGTTCAACAAAACTTCATTATAAAACACTCATATCATTGCTTCTAGTAATTATGTCCACACAAACATGCATATGTACAAAAGCTGAGTATCATCTACCATGGATTCAATTGTGAAAGCAGAACAACATATATAATATTTTTATTATTTCAAAGCTCCTGAGAAAATTAAATTTCGACATTAAATGACCCATAAGGAGTTGATATTCTGTTAAACAAACAAATCAACCAAAAATCAGCCAGTTCAGCAAAAATCAATACCGTTTGTTATCAAATTAAATCTTCAATGTTTTCAACGGTTGTCTAGCTAGAGAGAGCCAAAGAAGAGAATAAATATTTATTTCTCAGTTGGTAAAATTTTAGATAAAATTAACTTATATTTCTTATCTACATGACATATTTGAATTTTATTTACTTATTTCATATAGATTCAAACATTTTATAAAATAAACTTACTTTCCATTCTTGAAGTGGAAAAATTAATCTTACAAATCCTTTCATCTTTTTTGTTGTGCATTGCTTTCTGTGTTAGTGCTTTTGTATTTCTAATGCAAAAGAATTATATATCAGGAGTTTGAAATATTTAGATTTGGATATTAAATAACCCATAGAGGTGTTGATATGCCACTAAACAAAATCAAACAACCAACATGAAAGAATTCTTTCATGACATTAATCCATATAATATCCTACAATTTCTTAAAGAAATCAAACTGTATTCCAAAATATAACTTCAACAAAACTAGAACATAAGACACATATTTCTAGTAATTATGTTCATATAAACATGTATATGCATAAAAGCTGAGT